ACGTGGTTGAAGAGCGTCGCATTGAGTGATACCCGCACCTAATTAGGGATCTCACAGTATACCTTACTGAGCGATACTCATACTTTCAACGGTATAGTGCCGATCTAGTGTAATAGCTGAATAAATTTTCATCCCAATGCTCTGTCCTTACCCCTGACTCGTCCACTACGGATTGTACTTTCCGTGCCGTGCGCTGGGTCGCCCACAGCGTTTGTACAGTACACTACTCCAGCACTTCACACTACTTCAATCGTACTCAAATGAGTACACCTCAAGCCGTTCACTGGTAGTATTGTTCAGAGAGCACGAATGGCTCAATTGAGCGTCATGCGCGTCGAATATTGATTCAACAAATGGGCAAATGGAATAAACACAGCGGACGCTGTGACGTCACGCGTTCGCATGCTCCGGCGCTTGACGCGCGCCCAACTCTCTTCGTCGTGCGTCCATCTTCGTCTCTTTGACGGGACTATCTTCATGAAGCAACGATATAGCCCTTATCTTCCAGTCACGTTCCTCGGGTCTCACGAGCCGTGCTCCCCAAGACGACCATAAAACCAAGGCGCGCGGCTCCTAGCAACTTTGGAGCTTGGCCTTCGCTGGGAAACACGCTTTCTCCACGGCCCAGCTGAACACGAGGCACCGAGGCCGTGCAACGTACTGACTATCTTAGGTATAGAAGGATGGCGCAACTCAGACCGCACGCGTGTTACGCCCTCTTTTCACCCTCAACATTCTCATGTACGGGCACGGACTTCGACGTTTACTTTACTCCGGCTCGGTCATCGCGTTGGCTGCACGGGCCAATGCGCGAACCATCACGGTCACAAATGCTTGCTCGTTCACTATATGGTGTGTCTGACTACCTGTGTATGCATTCTTCCTGAGTCAACTCAACGTGCTCTACAGGCCAGCGGTACGCACACTCTCCGGTTCGGAGTGCGCGGCACGCCCGACTGACGCCTATTTCAGATATTCACCGATCCCACCACGAACTCAGCGCTCCCAGATACGCCCACAGGGTGAGATTTACGTGATATTATGAATTGCCGCATTCGATTTGACGCGTCCTCGTACCTAGCTGGGAGGCGCCGCCCTCCACTTCTGTATCTTTCACTGTACCGGATAACTGGGCATCTGGGCGTATATGGGTACGTGGCCTGGGTTCATCATCAGCACGTTGCGCACATACTCATGAAGTCCAGGGCCGAAGCGACTGCAACTTCAACACCACTACCCCCGGCCCCAACTCCTGCGTGACAGGGGGCTGTAATGGAGGCTTGGAATGCGACAAGGCGACCGGAACTGTACGCAGTGCTCCCTCAATCTCATCGAATTCATCCTAATATCTTTTCCCGCAGGGTGTCCCTCCTGCTACTCTCGCTGAGTGGACGCTCCAGGCATCGGGGAATAATGACTTCTATGACGGTAAGTCGGAGTGCTTGCTCACGTACGGACCGTTGCTGACGATGCGGCCCTGTTTTTGCAGTATCACTCGTCGACGGGTTCAATCTGCCTCTCACGATAGCCCCATCATCTACGGAATGTCACACGGCCAGCTGCCCTGTCAATCTCAATCAAGTGTGTCCCTCAGACTTGGCTGGCCCTAGCAACTCCTCCGGCGTGGTGGAGGGATGCAAGAGCGCATGCTTTGCCAATCTCGACGGCAACCCTAGCGATTCGGCGAATTGCTGCTCGGGTAGCCATGGTTCAGCCGCAACCTGTCCTCCGACAGGAGTCGCGTTCTACACGTACTTCAGTAAGCAACATCAGACTGCGTACTCCGTCAGTCAAAGATGCTGAGATGTATCCAGAGGGCAACTGTCCTGATGCATATGCGTATCCTTTCGACGAAGGGAGCGGTACAGCTCTTTGGACATGCAGCGCCACCTTCAATTCCGACTATACAGTGACGTTCTGCCCGTACGTGGGAATGCCGAAACAGAGCTCCATGTGGCTAACCCGGAACCCAGAACTCAAGAAAGAGCAGTCCCTTCTCCGACCATACCCGCCTCTGCCTCAACCACACCAGTCGAGACAGAGCCATTTCCGACCCGTGGTGCTGCCATACCTCTCGCTATACCCTTACACTGGTGTACACCGCTGCTCGTCGCAACATTGTCAGCTGTCCTTTTGTTGTCATCGATATAACTTAAACGCATGACCGCGTGTCGCGTACCATTCTCGTCTGCTCTACTTATGGAACTATGCTATACCTGCTTCTGCCGAAGACGGCCAGTCATACGCCATCTCACCTCACTGGAGTTCTCGACGCGTGGGACGTCAAGACCACCCGGTGACTCGCCGTTTCGTGGACCCCTGCCAAGGTCATCTACCTCCTTCACCCCGACACTCCAAGGCGGACAATATCTCAAAGGGTAATCTTGTCGTCAATTTCTAACCATGCCATTTAGCTTTCGCATCCGAGAGAGCTCGGATGCCCTAAAGCGGCCTTCTATGCATCCGAGAGTGGACAGAAGTAATGGTTGCGGTTAAGTATCGGCTATAGTACGGGTCTAATCTCGATGCATCCGAGCAAGGTTTGTGATGCGAAGCGTTGATTACAGTCGAGACTTGCAACGGCCATCGTCAGTTGACCCCATCCATCTTTGGCCCAGTATAGGTACTCCCCGTCGACGCTCGTCGAGCTTGGGTAGATCGCATCGACTGGATATGCCTCGCCTACACCTCGGAAACCACGACGCACCGTCCTGTTCTTAGCAAATGCAGGCTGACTATACCGCCTTTCTAGCCCTATAAGAAGGATTTGCTGGGCAATTGCCTCAGCCAGCTCAAGCTCAATAGCATCTTGACAACATGTTTTCGGCTACTCTAGCTCTTGCGGCCATCTTCGGCACTGCAACGGCCCACTGTGAGTTCGCTCTCGCTTGACCACCGCCGTGATCTTGCTGACTTGCGTCCATGCAGACACCTTCCCATCACTCGTCTACAAGGGCGTCACGACCGATCCCTGGGTGAATGTCCGCGAGACGAACAACTACAACACGCTGGCCCCCGTACGCGTATCATCACACACATCACGAATGATCCTACTGATCTTGCATCCAGGTTACCGATGTGACCTCCGAGGACCTGCGTTGTTACACCTCCGAGACCGACGCCAAAGCCAGCACGCTCACAGTTGCTGCGGGCGACCAGCTCAGCTTCCACGTCAACGACGCCTTGACGATCTACCACCAGGGTGTTGTCAACGTATACATGGCGCAAGTCCCGTCGGGCTCCGACGCGGCGAGCTTCGCTGGTGACGGCGACATCTGGTTCAAGGTGTTTGAGATTCCCGCCGTCACTGATGGTGGCACTTCGATCTCGTTCCCCGCTCAGAACGTGCCGAGCGTCAACTTCACCATCCCTGCTGCGCTTCCCAGTGGACAGTATCTGGTTCGCATGGAGGCCATCGCGCTGCATGTTGCATCGACGTTCGGCGGTGCACAGTTCTACGTGAGTCTCGCGCCGTTGTACTATTCGCGTATGAGATGACTGACTCTTCTGGTGCTATAGATCGCATGTGGACAGATCAACGTCACTGGCGGTGGCTCTGGCTCGCCGAGCCCTAAGGTCGCAATCCCAGGTGTCTACACCGGTAACGAGCCCGGAATCCTCATCAACATCTACGTGAGCATACAGTGCCAGCGCTTGACGTCAGATCACGAGACTGATGCGCTTCTTAGTACCCCATTCCCGCGAACTACACGCAACCTGGACCGGTAAGTCCCGGGCCGGACCTCGTTCAATATCTATACTCATGGCGAATCATCAGGCTGTGTGGTCCGGATGAAGAGATGGCGATGGCATTTGAGGGTCTCGTGGACGGCGACCAGAAGTCGAAACCTGTCCTAGGCTTGATAGTGTCTTCTCAAAGTGTGGAGTGTACTGTTTGGATTGGCAGGTCTTGTATTGCATATACTTCTACTTGGTCATGCCATGCGCGCGGGGCGTCCATTCTCGTACTTCTGCCGACGGCGACCGTCCAATGGCTGTTGAGCCTGGTATCGAGCCTGCATCGTCATTCCGGGGAGTCGCCGTGGCTCTACTAGGACATTACACTCGTCTTCGAGAGCCACAGAAAGCTACAACCCCTCTAGTTGATCTTGCATCACTGCACATTCAGCGTCTTCTGCTCACCTTCCTCTTGAACCAGGAGTATACTTGAGCGCCGGTCTGCACCACTCAAGATCCAGATCGATGTTAGCCGATTCATATCTCCTTGGAAGCAGCACGTCGGTATTCACGGCTAAGTGTCGGGTATAGTGCGGCTCTAACTGATCCTTTGGGGCGAATGCCACGAAATGACGCCTACATGCACTGCTATAACCTCAACTCGCCTTATCATTTGACTCGTCTATCTTTGACATGCTGTATGCGCTTCTTCTTCATATCGTCGTATGTCCTAATCTCCCTTCATGATTGTGGATATGTCTCGTTCTTACTTCGGAGACCAGATAGCATGCGGGAATTGTTCAAGATAGATGGCCGGTAACCGGTCGCTCTCCCTGGCTTGCTATAAGAACTGGTAGACATAGTGTGGCATCTCGACAGCACGGACGTAGAACAAGCCTGTCAACGTTCAACATGCGCTCGGCAACTCTTGCACTCGCGGCCTTGTTTGGCACGGCTACGGCCCATTGTGCGTTGAGTCCTATCGCCGTATCCAGTACTAAACATCGCTCACACTCACGCACGGCAGACACCTTTCCGGCCTTGATCTACCAAGGAAAGACGACTGCTGACTGGGCAAACGTTCGCGAGACCAACAACCACAACTCTCTTGGCCCGGTCTGTCAATGTACCTTTCCACCTTTCCCCTTCTCTTACTCATCGAGCTTTTAGGTCACCGACGTGACATCCCAAGACTTGCGCTGCTACACTTCTGCCACCAATGCGACAGCGAGCACCCTCAACGTCCAGGCCGGGAAAGAGATCAGCTTCCAAGTCGGCGATGGGTTGACGATCTATCACCAAGGAGTTGTGAACGTCTACATGGCGAAGGTCCCGTCGGGATCTGACGCTTCCAGCTTTGCCGGTGACGGCGACGTTTGGTTCAAGGTGTTTGAGATACCAGCCGTCACGAACGGCGGTAGTTCGATCTCTTTCCCTGCACAAGATGTTCCGAGCGTCAACTTCACGCTTCCCGCAGCACTTCCCAGCGGCCAATACCTCGTGCGCATGGAGGCTATCGCGCTGCACGTTGCTTCTACGTTCGGCGGAGCGCAGTTCTACGTCAGTGGTGTTCGCTGGCAGACCTTGACCTTCCATCAACTGATACACGGATATAGATTGCTTGTGGACAGCTTGATGTCACCGGCGGCGGCTCTGGGACGCCTGGTCCCCTTGTTGCTATTCCAGGTGTTTATACCGGTAACGAGCCCGGCATTCTCATTGACATCTACGTGAGCGTTAGGTTCTTATCCCACTGTTCGAACGTGCCTTCTAACACGTACGCAGTACCCCATTCCGGCGACTTACACCCAGCCCGGCCCTGTAAGTCGAGCGCATATCCTTTACATAAGTTGATTCTGACAATGCAAACAGGCTGTATGGTCCGGATGAGCCTTTTGAAGAGACCGCGACGACTGTGATGTATGCATTGATCCTTTGTAACACTAGTACGACCCACATATGGTCATGCTGTTCATCCCCTCCCACGCTGTCCGCGTCCCGTGCCGCGCCCTCTGATTGACTTCGGTCATATAAGTCGCCTATTTCCCGAGACTACTCGATGAGCCTGATCTAATTCACGCGTCAGCCGTCCCGAAGATTGCCTCGGTAAGGGGAACCCGACCTGTCCAGTGCCGGTCTCGTATAGCCAGCCCGTAACATTGGTCCCTTCAAGTAGAGCTCCTTCTTGCACGCGTTCCTTCAACCAGAGTACATCACGCCGAATACTACTTTCTACGTCATCAAACTCGTGAAAGTCCATGCCTGATGGTACATGTCGGCTGGCGCGGATCGTCCTTGGAGAGACGCGAAGCAGTCCGCAGTCGGTGTGGTGCATAATGAGGATATCTTTCCCGCCAGTGAGGGCTTGGAATACGATGAGCGAGCGTAGGGCGTCAGCGCTATCTTTGACGTTGTTGATGATGAGTATAGAGGTGAATAGAGATGTTGACGTACGCAACACCGCCAGCATTGCGGATTATAGCGGCCTTTCCCTCCACATCTAGAGCTCGTATCGGGCTGAGAAAGTATAAGAACAATGCATGATAGCTCCAACGGGTCGCTTACTCGAGACGGCGATCCATGCAGGTTACTGTAACGAGTATGCTGAGAATTGTACGAATAGGATGCAAACGTATCACACACCGATAGCAAGACCAGGAGTTGGACTGCCAGGACTGCCTTGAGAAAAGAACGCTTCGCCTTTCACAGCGGGTAGGCGTCCCATCGCGACATAGCGTGTGTTTGCGTCGATAAGAGCTTCAAACTGCGACATACTCAGGTATTTGCGGTTGAGAGTGTTGGTTCATTCATCGCTTGGTCCTGCCGAGTGTTTTATACTTGCCCACAGCGCCCAGTACGGTCTCGCGCGGGACGGTAGGCGCGACTATGAGCACAAGTAGCGCCCAGTAAGGTCGGGCTGACCGATGAGGGTTGGTCATAGCTCCATGGAAAAGTGCGAGCACCAGTGTAAGTCCCATACTAAGACTCTCGCAGATGCTCACTGCTAACTTGTGAACATGTTCGCTCGACAAGCACAAGTCTTCAAGATAACAGTCACCGCAAGACGTGCTTTGCGTACGGGCAACAAGGAAGCGGAACACAAGCCAGACGGTCCCGGACTCCTGTACAACAGCAGCATAATAAGACTCCCTCGGACAAGCGAGGAGTGCAAGTGTGTTGCCATTGGAGATTGTGCTATCGGGTCATCAAGTTCGCTGGTGGTGGTCGGAGAGAAACAAGCAAGGTCGTTATGCGGATGTCGGATCAGTCGTTTCTCGGCAACTCGGCGAAGGGGTTCAGCCAATAGAAATAAGTCAAATTATAATCAGCTCCCGCAGACGCGGCGCTTCTGCTGCTGCTTTCGACCACCATGACATTTTGTACTTCGCTGCCGTATTTCAGCGGCAAGAAACGCTTGCCTGAGCTCGGCAAGCGCAGGCCTTATGTTGCTGGCACTACTAGACGGATCCGCTGGTCTATTCCCCATCAAGTGTATTCACGGTCTGCAAGGCAGAAGAACTCTCGTCTACATGAAGCGAATGTCATTATCAAGATAGGACGGATGATCGTTGGATCACATGCGTAGCGATGCGCTGTCATTTACTGGCCAGACGGTGGGTGGTCACTCGACCACGCGAAGCTGGGGCATGCGTCGTCAACAGGCTGATATGTGGCAAACTGCGACTGCCGCACACTCACTTTCCCTGTCTCGTTCTCGAGAAGATAGCCCACAACGTGCGTACCCTCGAGCAATGCTCCGTCTTTGACGCGCTCTTGGAGCCAGTGCACATCCCGACGAACGCCGTCTTCGAGGTTACTGAACTCGTGAAATTGCATATCCTGCGGCACGTTCTTAGGACCCGCATGGATCTTGTCCGAAGATACGTATAGCATGCCGCAGTCAGTATGATGCACGACGGCTATCTCTCGAGCGTGAGTGAACTCCTGGAAGACGATGAGAGAGCGCAACGCGTCCACGCTGCCACGTCCGTCAGGCCTATGATAGATCGCTCAGGATGCTAAAGGGCATACCCTACGCCACCAGCGTTCCGAATCATGGCCGCTTTACCCTCCAGGCCTAGAGCGCGTAAGGGGCTAGCGTCTTGGTGAGGTCACGTTCTCAGATGTAAGTAGATGCTGCTTACTCAATGCGGGGATCCATACATGTCACTGCGCATATATTTCAGGTCATTGAGCAGCACGATACCACGGATCGGCATCCTCACCAACAGCATGACGAGGAAAGATATCTTCCAAATTGTCTCCTTTCTGACCGGATATCTTGGCCAGGTTCACGGTAGGAACTTCGCCTTTCTCTACATAGACGGCGTTGTTGGCGAGTAGGAAGTCGGCTTGCGACATGGTAGGAGAGATTCTGGTGCTGGGGAGGCGAGACTGTACGAATGTATGATGAAGGCTGTTCCGTCGAGACAGCCTGTCTTATGTATACGCATAGGTTGCCTGCGGGTATGAGCTGCACAGTTTGAAGCCCGAGATGCCCGAGTGATGAGCCTGACGATGCTGACCTGTCGGTGCCCGAGCAAAGTTGGCTACGAGAGATTCAACACGAACTGGCAGTGCTTACACCACACTCAGCCAGCCGTCCGAATTGCGTACTCCCTGGGCGAGGCTATCTCAGGCTCTTCTGGAGTTCAGTCATAGTATTTCAGGTGGATATACCTTAATGTATCCGCGACCAGGTGCGCAAGCGCAGACCGAGCCCTTTCAACGGAAGCCTCTTCGACTGGCGCCTTTGCTTTGCATACTTTATCTGGTATATGCTGTAGAGACATGAAGAGGCGGATTTTCCGCTCTCATCGTAAAGCGCATCATGGTGAAAGATCTCGGCAATCCGAGCGCATCCAACAATATACGGAGGCCGCATATCAGCGTCACTTGGTCAAGGATGAATCAGGGTACAGGAGATCATGATCAAAGGGAGATTTCCTTGCCATTCATGCGTACTAAATGGCCTGAATCGATTGAAATCGGTGGTGGCTGAGTGCATGATGACGAAACTGGTTAGTGTCGGCGACTACGCGTCTGCCGTTCTCATTTCGCCTGAGAATCGTTTGGTCTCGTACGCAGCCTTTGAATGAATAAGCCTGTATCTGAAACCTGATAGTGTGTGGTGATGGCTGATGAGGCTCTCGCCTCTGGTATACACGCATCGCAAGAAGCAGAGACTAATGGCACCACGTCCTCATTGTCTAAAGCGACAGGTGGCCATCTGCAGAAGATGGGACAATACAACAGGGAGACGCCACACGGGCAGTTTCAACGATACAATGGCTAGATGGCTCCACAGAGGGCAAAGGCACCAAGCTCACTCGACCACGCGAAGCTATGGGGTGCGGTGTTAGCGAGCTGATATGGGCCAAGCAGTTCAGCGAACTTGCCTTTCCAGTCTCGTTTTCGAGCATGTAGCCGACAATGTTCGTGCCTTTGAGTAAAGCGCCGTCCTGGACGCGCTCCTTCAGCCAGCGCACGTCACGACGTACGCCCTCGTCGATGTCGCGGAACTCATGGAGGTGCAGGCCAGCCGGGATGTTCTTTGGGCCAGCATGGAGCTCCTCCGTCGAGAGGCGCAACATCCCGCAATCGGTGTGGTGAACTACGGCGATCTCCTTTCCGTGCACGAGCTCCTGCCAGGCAATGAGAGTACGGAGTGCATCGGCGCTGATAAGAGCGTTTGGTGAGCGAATGGACTGAGGCTTTGCAGAGACATCAAGGACATACGTCACGCCGCCCGCATTGCGGATGATGGCCGCTGGCTGCTTGTCAAAGCCAAGTGCTCGCATGGGACTGTGATGTCAATGAGTTCATGTAGAATGGAGAGGGAGGTATAGCGTACTCAATGCGAGGGTCCATGCAAGTTACTGAGAGTGTAGTTGCGTTGATCAGTGAAGAGGGCTAAAATACTGACTACGATCACATACCGACAGCATAGCGTTCGGGAGCATCCTCGGCGGGCACTTGACCCTTAGGCACGAAGAGAGCATCACCGGGAGCAGAACTAATGGGAAGCAGTTCGCCTTTAGCAACATATGCAGCGTTGTTGGCGAGAAGGAAGTCGGGCTGGGACATGTTTGAAGATGTGCTGGCTGGTGGTTTACTATAGAAGACAATGGTGTTAGCTTTTCTGGAGGTCAAGTCTCGTCTTATATACGAGTACGAGTGAATGGCTCTGGTAACTCGGTCTCGTACGGGCCTACGGGCACGACCCAAAAGCCCGAGCGATGAGTGAGGCGTCACTGACCCGCCGCTCTCGCTTATCGTGCCCGACGAACATGTGCCGTCGCTCGCAGAGTGACCAACACATCCCATTGAGATCCTGAGAATTATGTGGAGGTGCGCTTGCCGGATATCGTATCATTCCCGCAAACGCGTCGGTGTCAATACTGGAACCAGACACGTTTCTTCAACACGGACACGCCGAGTGATGCACTCTTTCCATTGTTTAAGATAGAGCGCCGGTGGGGAAGATACGCATCTAGAGCAAGAGATGATAGATGCAGGCTGGCCTTCACGTGACTGTCCAGCAGAGTACGATCGTCGCTGACGAAGAGGCAGACGAGATCGCGGAATCGCTCGGAAATCCATCAACGTAGGATAGCGCACGGTGGGCGCCTGCGTCGGAGCAGTCTATTCAGACACTGGTCAGGCTCTTGCTCTGCATATGCTATAGTACCGCAATACGTACTCACGTCCATCGTGCTGGTCAGCTTCGTCGGTCTGACATCAGAAACACGGCTTTATTTGTCATCGGGCGGGAACTTGAACATGGACCGCCAGAAAAACATTGGGTTGAATCGCTCGGGCCTGTAAACTAGCCCGAGGCTGTCAACAAAAAGACGCTGGTATGCGATATCACAATGAACGACGTGCTCGTCGTCGTGGTTCAAGCAGGTCAGGTGGACGCGTCGACGTCAGACGCGGCGGGCGCCTGCCTCTAACCCTAACCTGAATCAACCCCCACGGCACGCGCGCCGCTCGCCTCGTCGCGCGAGTATATTCCACAGAGCCTCCCCATGAATCATATCTCTGAAGTACCGGGGATACAACTGAGGAGGATGGACTCCTGGCCGAAGGTGTTACGCAGGGCTTTTTCGAGCCGGCGGCCCTCATGATTTTGCGTGTGCAACGTCCACCATGACCCACATGAACCCAGTTCCGACATGGACAGTCATGCGAGCGTCTTTCGGAAGTAACAATATATAGGTCTATGTTCTCCTAAGAGTCCATACCAGATGCAAGATGAGTGTTCGATAGCGATATGATACATATGCGAGAGCCCGGGATCCAGATGCCAGGTTACCGTTAATAGAAAGAACCGGTCCAAGAGTCGTGATTGTGTCGTGCATTCGTTGACAGCTCGCGGCTGTTTTTCCTTCCTTTCATCACGACAGTCAATACACGTATCCGAGGAGGCTGCGGCTTCCTACCTGCGGTTATATCCACACGGTCAATCCGACTTGACGCGCTCGTATCCCTGAGCCTGTGCTCCGCCTCCCCAGAACCAACCTCCACCGCCAGCCCGACTGCGTGGCGGCTCGTCCTCCGCATCGCTCGGCACCTCAACCTCCTCATACCCTCTCCCACCCACGTCGTACCCCTCCTGACCCGCACCCTGCACGCCCGACGCAACCCTACTCGGCCCACCGGGAGGCGTGGCAATACCAGCGTTCGTATTCGCCTTCTGCTGGCTCAACAGCGCTGTGCCACCTGCAACGATCGCAGGCCCATACGTCCTCCACAATCCACCCAGCATCATCGTGGGTCCGGATACAGGGTCGCTCATCGTCGGCTGTTGCGGTGCGTTTGCCGGAGGTGGAGCGGCGTTTGCTGAGGATGACATGTTGTCCCATAGGAGGCGGAGGCGGGATTGGAGGAAGTTCAGGATGTAGGCTTTGAGTTCGCCCAGGGCTGCGTCAATGCGCGGTTCATGGAGGGAGAAGAAGGGCGCGACATAGATGCGGTAGATGGTGGTTGAGCCTTGGGTTTGGGGCAAAACGAGAAAGAGGAGGAATAAAGTCTTGATCGGGTAGTAGAATGGTATCCTGCATGTCGGCGTCTGATCAATACATCATTTGAACTTCAGTGAAAACGGGAACTGACCAGGAGACAAGCCACTCTGCGACATACTCGACAAAGACTATGCAGCCAAGAACGGACCAGTATGTGAGCCAGCGCTCAAGTTCGGCTTCAGATGCCGGGCGCTGGCTGAGGCACTTGAAGGACGCGTAGCCTGGGTAGAGGAACGCGACGACCGCGCTGCAAGAATCCAATCGCGCGTCAGCCATTCGCGCATTGACATAATCTCTACAGAACATTCAATATCCCACCTTGTTATGCGCGATAGAAGGTAGAGTAACATCGCGCTATACTGTCGCAGATGACAGATGGAAGTTAACGAGAAAGGGAATCGATGAAGCTGGAAGAAGCGAAGAGACGGGCGCTCGGCCGCGTGCTCTAAATAGGGGCACTTCGCGCATGTCGCGCGCTTGTCTGCCAGAGATCATCGTACAAAGCCGCGTGTCAAGTGTGATGATATAGGTTGTGCTACGTGTAAACATCGCATGCGGCCACGACATAGTATCCATAGTATGACTCGGGATAATAGTACCGCAGCTACGTCTACTAGTCTACATCGTCGTCCGCAGCCCCCACCTTCCCGACCTCCTGAGCCGGTACCTTCGGCGACGCGAACACGTTCGGCATTCCTCCTGATGCAGCCTTCTTGAGTCCTGGGGCGACCATCGAAGCTCCGAATTTTTGCGGTGCTGGTTTGGATGCCTTGCAAACCACTTTGTGGCGTTTCCAATCCTGTACAAGTATTCGCCGTTGAAAATCCATGGGTGCCACACGAAGAAGTGTAGAGTTAGCCCCTCCGCACTTCGGGGATTTACACGCACCAGCTTTTGACATTCCCTCGAGCAGTAATACGGCTTGACGTCCGCCGTACATGCCCCTCCACATCTCAATAGCTTCTCCTTCCCCTCGGCGCCTCTCCCACACCCAGGTCTAGCGCATTCAAATGCGCTGGGTGCCTCTCCCGCCACCTCTTTCTTCGCGATAGCTTGTCCACGCCTCTCGTACACGTCCCACAGGAACGGCAGTTCCCGTGCGGCGGCATGAATAGCGGCACGTTCATCCTCTGATAAATGCGAGGCTGCTTTCGTGGGCAATGCTTCCACCAAACGTGCAAGCTGTTGTGCACACCAGAGCGCCACGGGTGCAACGGTCTTTGCACCTTCTTGCAAGCCAAGTTCAGGTATGACTTCTGAATCGAGACCAGCAACCACATTCGCGAACCGAGCTGCGTCGAGGAGGTCAGATGTTCCACCCGTGCGTGCGTAGGCGTCTTGGAAGTAGGCGCATAGTGCGAGCATAGACCGTTGGACTGCTGGCATGTCGTCTGCAGATAGGTTCGAGTCTGAGGAAACGGAGTCCCAGAGGGTACGGGCGGCATCTTTGTCAACTGGGACACCGTATCCTGTGAATAGCCTGTTTTAGTCAGTAGAAACTCAACAAGACACACAATCACAACGAAACACACCTCACTCCCATCTCGACGCGCATCATAGCATCTCCGCCATCAGCTTGGGTTTTGACCTCGTCAGTCGGAAACGCGTCGAGGAACTCGCGCATGCGTGCGTCACGTTCTGCGATTTGTGCTGGTGTCTTTTCGTCGACATCCTCCACAGCTATTGAAATCAGCCGAGTAGCAAAGCTAGAGTATTCCGAGAAAGCATCGGAGGTGGACATGGTGGAGGATCGCAAGTACGTGTACAATACGCTCACCACTTGCAGAGACGTTCGGATGTCGGGCCGTCCGGAAACACGGCAGCTCGCGACGCGCGCTTCGGTCTAACGCGCCTTGGAGCGAACGACCACCACCTCCACCAGGTTGTAATACAAACACTCCTGCTTACGCATACACCGTCTGGCGCGGTTATTGGTGCCAGAATACTCTTGCTTTCAGCAATGCGATTGCGCCGATACGGTGCAACAATCTGCTTCCGCCGTCCGTGACGGGGGAACGGGTGTGCGAATTCTGCGAAAAATGAGACACTCGGGACGAGCAAGACGCCAACCGCTTGACCGTAACTCACATTGTATCTCCTGACCGACGCTTCTTCTCAGATACTTTGCATCGACAGTGAAGATAAGCCGGTCATCATGGAAGACGACCCGATAAACATCGACGGGGTCACTAAGTTAGATGTCCCAGAAGACGAACTCTACTATATGAGTTGGTCCCCGGAAAAGCGCCTGAACGTCAAGGCAGGCGAACGCGTTCTACAACAGATTCGGGACGATCCAGGACTCGTCACCGCCCAGCTACGAGACGCTTGGACTGCCGCGCGTGTAAGCGCGAGCGACGCTGGAAGTGCCGGGCAAGCATTCGCGGAAGTCGTGAAGAACATGTGGTGGGCGTTTGGGGTATGTCAACAATATAAGGACCACAAGTTAAGCCTTGAAGCCTGGTCGCGCATGTACGATGCTGGGCTTCCCGACCTGGTGCTGGATATAATCATGGCGACGGACTTTTGGACTTTGCCGCAGGTGAGTCTGAGCTGCATTCGGTGATGTTGATCGTTGTGCACTCACATATGCTATCTAGTCCAATGCGGTCGGGCATCTATTCGATATTCATACACGGATTGCATGGTCGAGCCAGCACTCGTATCAGCCTTTTCGCCAGCGGGTGCTCTCCCATTCGGACGCCCTTTGGACCGCTATGTGGAATAATAGAGACATCATTGCGAGCTGGCACTCGGACAAGCCTCCTGTAGCCAATCTCCAAGAGCACCCTTCTGTTCAGGCGCTCGTGATTTACTTTGTTCTGTACAGGCAGACGTGAGTGCCAGGGTCTACGATCATCGTACCCGCGCAATGCATTGACGCTGATCGTCTTACAGTGAGACGCCCCTTGCACCTTCTTCACACATGCCACACTTCTCCTTGCACGCCTGGACAACTGCGAAGTGCCGATCCATGTATTTCGATACCGTATATCTATGCGACGACGGGGTGATAGGACCCACCCTCCGCAACCCGACGTTCATCGACGAGGCAATCATCGACGGTATTGGTATTGGCCCCTGTTATGCGCGTTTGGCGGACCTTCTTCGTGGGGAGGGCCCATGGCAATGGGATCGCCCTGACGAAGTCGAGCGCGCCCTTAATTTCTTCGATAGTCTACTGCACGTGGACACACCAGAGCACCGGGAGCTCGTCGTTGGCGCTGGGCGCCATCGCATACCTCATCTTGTAGCAACGATCGCGAAGAAGTACGCGCTATCTGGCGGGCTTCGCACTTACCCGCGCTTTTACAACTTCGCGTTCTCCATCATAGCGTACGCCGTGCAACATCGATCACGATCTTGCAAGCTCTCTGACGAATTTGTATCTAGCAAAGCAATACAGTATGATCTGATAATGCGGTCATCGTCTGAGCGGATGGAATCACTTGTGGTACCGGGCGAGGACCTCATCCTCATCCTCTCATGCTCCATCGACGTTCTTGCGGTCCACGGCAACGACGAGTCTACTCTAGACAAGGCCCGTCCCGGTACGTGCACAGCTGCGCGAATCGTTGGTAGCTCCGCATCTATCTCACATCACGCGCAGCCTACGACTCCGTCAAAGAGGGACTTCTGGTTTGCGTGCAGGCGTACTACGACTGGGCCTTGAAGATCAAGGGACAGCCCCGCGGCACTACTACCGCACTCGAAAGAGACTTGCTGTGCGGTCTGCAGCGAGGCGCTCAGGAACACTGGTGGCCCAGTCTGCGCGCACTCACGGCCGCAAAGCGCCGTTGCGAAGGGAGAAACAAGGACATGGCCAAGTTCGGTACGCTCTGGAAGGGATTCGGCGCGCTTCTGGGATGCAACATCAAACGCGAACGCGACCGAGATGCGTCTGAGGCCGCGAATCGCTGTGTGCGAATCGAGTGCGAGTATCATCGGAAGCCGGCAGAAAAGCGCCTTTTGCGGTGCAAGGGCTGTGGTGTGTTTTATTGCAGTCGTGATTGTCAAGTCGCGTTCGTGTTTATTGAAGACATTGGATATGCCGACTGAGTGTGTTTCTTTGATAGGGATTGGAAAAGCGGGCACAAAAAGGCTTGCAGGAGAGTTAGGGACGGCAATGTTGATTGAGCAACGGAGTCGTTTCCGTATCTTAGCAGGAGAGGGTCGGGAATTTGCACCGGACGTGAACGGCCGACTTCATCATATCTACACGGGTCCCGGACAAGGTCGTCTTGAACCTCTGGATCGACTTGACTCTCGGACACGATCTTCTTAGCCCAAGGGTTGTCTTGTATATATGCGCTCAATCAACACACTTCGGTTCAACAGAGGGTGGAACGATCAAGCGGCCTCGGATAAGCCGAACTCAGGCACGACAGGTGCGTGGGAAGTCACCACGACGCGCTAGCATGAGTTTCGCGCCGTCGGAATCGCGTTGTTCACGAACTAACACCTCACACTCGTCATCAGTGTCCAGTCTCGTACGGCCTCCATCTCGGGTTACCGCTCCGTCGTCAAAATATGTGCGCTTCAGCGCTCAGAACGCGCCTGATCGAGCAACTCAAAGCCGACCCCACGCCGGTCGCAGAGCAGCTCCGCGCCGCCTGGAGCGCCGTTTCTGCTACAACATCGGCAGATTGTCAGCGCACTGATACTGAGGCCCTGGCACGTCTGGAGAATATCGCGAAGAATATATACCAAGCTATTGCATCTTGCCAGGTAAAGGAAGAACATAAGCTGAGCCTCGACGGATGGTCTCGTGTGTACGACTCCGGCCTTCCGGATCTTATTCACGACATCGTAATGGACGATCGATTCTTTGCTCTCCCCAATGTCTGTGCTTTCTCTCGTCCGTCACGTCTTTGAAAAGCTGACACGTCGCTATGTAGCATCTCGCCGTCGGATACGTCTTTGACTCTCTTCTACGTATCTCAATTCCTAGCGACGAGTGGGCCAGATTATACGGCACGCGAGTTCTTCTGCGTTCAAATGCTCTCTGGGCTTCTCTGTGGGATAACCGAGACAGGATCGTGATCCAGACGCCTAATCGACCCCCCAATGACACTGGGGAGCAACCCGTTTGCCAGGCGCTCATGACACACCATCTACTACATAGATATACGTTCGTATCTTCACCACATCCCATCACCGAGAACCTAGCAAACTCATGACGGATGAGGTCAGCAAGTCCACTGTCTCGTGGTCAAGTCACATGCACCACTATGCCTTGTACGCTTGGGCGACCGCTAAAGCACCGACGGGGGACTTCAACTACGTCTCCCTCTGCGAGACCGGTCTCAGGGGACCTGGGTATAGCCCTACAGTATTCATCCGTGAAGCGATCATCGACGGGGTTGGCGTAGACGCGTGTTTCTCTCGGTTGGCCGCCATACTACGCAGCGACCCTCCATGGCGTTGGGATCATATAGACCATCTTCGCTCTGCTTTGAGCCTTTTCGGAGGCCTGATTCTACACGGAGAAGAAGATGAAAGCCTAATTCTGGTCGAGTCTGCTGGACGATATCGCATTCCCCAATTGGCGGTGAACATTGCTAGGGGTCACACTCTCACTGGCGGGTTGCGTGCCAGTCCAGCATTCTATAATGGCGTATTCTCCATCCTGATGTGAGTCCGCACATGTTTTCGCGTTTGATTCGCAGACTTCTCACCGTATTCATATCGCGCGATCCCAGGAAATCAACCCAGTATGACTGTGTTACGAATTGGAAGGGAGAACGAGCGAGTACACCTCTTGTGCCTGGGGAAGATGTCATGGCTATATTGGCATGCGCCATTGACCTCCTAGCCCTGCACGGCACCGAGACTGATCTAGAAAAGAATGCCCGAACTAGTAAGCTTGATTTCGAGCAGCAGTCGACAGCGCTTATCTGACGGAGATCGTAGCAATGGTCGGAGTTGTGAACTTCCTCTGGTCGGTGCTGCGGATGTACTTCGACAGGGTGAAAGGCATCAAGGATGTACACTCCGGCGATGTTGTACCGCTGCAATCTGAGATACTAGCGGGTCTAAAGCGTGGTGCAGCCGAGTACTGGTGGCCGAGTCTTCGCCGGATCGAGGTCGCCAAACGTCGATGTGATTCACAAAACGAGAACATCGTGCAATACTGCACACTGTGGAAGGGTTTCGGCGCACTTTTAGGCTGTGATGCTAAGCGCGAGCGGCAGAAGGATGCACGGGAAGCTGCGGGACGCTGTACGAGGTCTATCTGTGAATATCACAGTAAGCCGCCGAAGAAGCAGCTCTTGCGATGCAAGGGCTGCGGCGTCTACTATTGTAGTCGCGACTGTCAGGTTGCGTGAGTGCACAGTCATCATTATGCCTTGTTGTATCTCCTGATATGTGCGCTCGCAGAGATTGGAAGAGTGGCCACAAGAAGGAATGTAGAAGATTGGATACCGCCGATACTAGCGCCTGAGCTTCTCGGGATCCTCAGTCAAGCCTTACGGAGTAACCGATATGATACAAGTTTTCTGCGCGCTGTTTGACGCCGGTAGACTATACTCGACGTGCGCCGTTTGAACGAGCATTATGGAAGCAATAGAGTGAAGGAAGAAGCACAATACCAACAATTACTACAAATACAAGCCGCACTATATCACCCCTACAACTTCGCGTTGCGAGCCTTGAGCTTCGAGTCAAGCTTGGACTTCACAGCGTCCATGTACACATCCGTGACGACCCAGTGCTCGCGCTTCATGGCCTTTCCGTGAATGGCGAGGGCAAGATCCTTGGTCATCACGCCGTCTCCGTCAATGACCTCAACACAGGCCGCCTCAAGGTCCTTCGCCCAGGCCTCAAGAGCGGCGTTGTTGTCGAGCTTCGCGCGGTGAATCAGACCGCGAGTCCAGGCGAAGATGGAGGCGACGGGGTTGGTGGAGGTTTCATTACCCTTCTGGTACTCGCGATAGTGACGCGTTACCGTGCCTATCAACCGTGTCAGTACCACCACTCTATACAAGACGTCGTCGGACGTACCGTGGGCCGCCTCGGACTCGATCGTGAGACCGTCGGGAGTGAGCAGTTCACTCGTCATCATACCTAAGCTGCCGAAGCCCTGCGCGAGGATATCGCTCTGGACATCGCCATCGTAGTTCTTGCACGCCCAGACGAAGCCGCCAGAGCTCTTCAGCGCCTGCGCAACCATGTCGTCGATGAGACGGTGCTCGTAGTAGATACCGGCGGCTTCGAAGTCTGCCTTGTATGTGGACTCGTAGATGTCTTGGAAGATATCCTTGAAGCGCCCGTCGTACTTCTTCAAGATCGTGTTCTTCGTCGACATAAAGAGCGGCATCTTCTTCGCCAGCGCCATTTTGAATGAAGAATGCGCGAAGCCAGTGATACTCTGTAGGGGGTTAATGTGCAACCGTCCAAAGTCATAATGGAATGTTGCATACCTCGTCGGTGTTGTACATGGCCATGGCGACACCTCCTCCCTGGAAGTCATAGACATCCATCACGGTAGGCTCGCCGTTTGGCGGAGTGTACACGAGCTGCAGCTTTCCAGGTCCTGGCGCCACAAAGTCCGTCGAGCGGTACTGGTCACCGAAAGCATGGCGGCCGATGCAGATGGGGTTCTTCCATCCTGGGACAGGTCGTGGGATACTTTGCAGCATGATCGGCTCGCGGAAGACGGTGCCGCCCACGATGTTGCGAATCTGGTAATGCGCTTTGGCATATCGAAATGGAAGAGTGAGAATGCTGGACGTACGGTGCCGTTCGGCGAGCGCCACATCTGCTTGAGGCTGAACTCCTTCACGCGAGCCTCATCGGGCGTGATTGTTGCGCACTTGATGCCGACGTTGTATTTGAGGATGGCCTTCGCAGACTCGACCGTGACCTCATCGTTTGTCTACGGAGCAGTTGTTAGGCAGCTTTACGCGAGCAGTAAGATAACACGCACCTTGTCGCGATACTCCAGTCCCAAGTCATAGTATTTGATGTTCAGGTCGACGTAGGGAAGAATGAGCTGGCGAGGAGTCAGGCGTGCGCACACCACGTTGAGCACCGGCGCTTAGCGCACCTCCTCGCGGATCTTCTTCCAGATGATACGCGTCATCTCGTCTCCGTCGAGCTCGACGACAGGGTTCGCGACCGCAATCTTGCGCGCAGCCATTGTGCTCGCGAAGCCGCGTACGCTGTGCGCAGCACGCGGCAGGAAGTGCGAGCGGTAGGTTAATGTACGAAGCATCACAGGACCAGGATCAGGGGCGTTTTTAGGATACTAGAGGAACAATGCGTGCGCCTGAGACCTGCCAAAGCACAAGGGGAGAGTGGAGTGACGGTTGAGAACGTCGGAGCTGTCAACGACGGGATTGAAGATGAGCGTCGCGTCGGGCACCCGCACGGTGTCTGACGGCAGGCCGACCGCCGATCTTATAACCGAGAGACGTCCGACTCACGCTCACGGGCTGTTCGTGCAGCTGACCCCTCCGATGATTCACCAAAGAATTCTATCTCTAGGGCACCTAGTCTATAGTCTGATAGGAGTTCTACTAGTTACAAGTATATAGGCGCTGGCGCTTACAGCCCAGAGATGACCTTCTCTACCAGCTGCTGCATCACCTCGCCCATGCGCTTTCCCTCCGCAAGCACCTCCTCGTGTGAGACCGTCGGCGTCTTCGGGCGCTCAATGGTCTTCCCCATAAGCTGTGCGAGAATTGATCAATGGGCGCTCTTACTCAAAGAACGACGGTAGACCTTACCTCTGCTTCAACCTCTTCGCGGATACTACGGTACTGCTCGGGAATGACCACCATGTTCGTCACCAGGCTGAGCACCATGACCTGCATGCCTTCATCGTGTGCGGTCACAACCTCTGGCACGGTGCTCATGCCCACAACATCGCCGCCCGCTGCGCGCAGGAAGCGTCCCTCAGCCGGCGTCTCGTACGTCGGCCCGCTCACCCACGCATACGTGCCTTCCGCGAGGATATCATGCTTCAAGTTCAAGGCATGCGCTGCGCGGAAGACAGACGCGCGCAGGGAGCGAGAGTACGCGCCGGATAGCGGTAGGAAGCGCGCATGAGCAGGGGATACGGGTGGTCCGAGCAAAGGGTTCAATCCGGTCAAGTTGGGCAGCGCGATGTGATCCTGAATAACGACAACTTCGCGGATTCAGTCACTATTGTCGTATACATATAGAAAGTGTGACCTACTGGTTCCAACCTTAATCGAGGGGTTCAGAGATCCAGCAGCGTTGGTGACTGCATACAGCAGAGTCCGGTCAGAGAAGTTGCATGACATGATTGGGTGCGAGAAGGCACGCACTGATAACGCTTTTCACGCCGATCTGCTTAATGAGGCGGATCGGGTATACGACTGTGGCAAGCGGGTGGCCTTCATACGGATGAAACTACCTGACCCGCGATCAGCGAATGTGTACTGGGCATCAACGCACAGTACTCACCCGACCCAGCATTGCGACGACTGGCACGCCTTCATCGCCCATGAGACCAAAGGCCAGGATGCTCTTGTGACCGGGAACTGATTTGATCAGAAAAGACCGACCCGCATGCAAGTTACCAGTACGTACCTGTGCTCTTCCCAAAGCCACGCAGAGACGAGTACGGGACTTCAACAGTCTCACGCAGAGTCGCGGCCAGTGTGCTCAAACCAGAACCACACACGATGCCAACGCGTGGAGAGCGCAATTTTTCAGGCAACAGCGAGCGTAACACTTCCTTGTTGGAGGCAAAGAGCTCTTCGTATGCCATAGACATAGTTACTGAGAGAATGGAGTGCTGGCAAGAGCCCGGTCGTGGCAGTCGAGAGATAACTCGTTTCACCGGCAAAATCGGATCGCGCGCGCTTGGCTCGCCTTGCCGGAGATTAGCGCCACACGTTCACCACGCGAAGTTCTTACATCTAGCTCGCCCGATGGCTCTGGACTGGAGAGTGGTATACATAGAGATACAGAAGAAGTACGACGACTGGTGTATAGACCAAGAGTACAAAAGTAGCGCAAAGCCCAAACAGATACCAATAAAGAGAGTAATATGCGTGTTCACTCTGCCGCGGCGTACCACCACAAGGTCGTAACGCCAACCGGGAACGTGTACGTTGCCTGCATGCCGCGGAACTCGATAGTGGCGGTCACGTCAACAGGGTTGAACGACGTGCTAGAAGAATCGTCCTGTACAACTGATCAGTACGAGGAAATGGAGAGCCACTCGAGATATGAACGCACCCAGTTCAGCACGACGATGGAATACCGGTTCCAATCCGAGCTCGAGACGCGCTCAGTGACGAAGGCGGTCACACGCAGAGCCCATGAGAGATTGCCGCCCAGAGTGACCTCGATGCGCTGGCCGTACGGCCCGCCAACATCGCGAGGGTTGACGGCGCGTGCAGCCTGAGCAAGGTTGTAGTCTGAAACGGGAGTTAGGTTCGGTCTGGCATGTAGTGCAGTGAAAACAGACGTACACTCTTGATTCAGAGAGTAGCTACCATCGCTGTTCACGGTCGCGATCGGTCGACAACCTGCATCGCCGCACGGGGTCTGAGACGGAATATGGGGGTTCCCACTCCCATCGAGCGCGATGTTCCAGAACAAGACTGTGCTTGCCCAGTTCTCAACAGATCCTGCAGTGAGTTGGTCGACATTCCACTTGATATCCGACCACCAGTCCGATCCGTACGTCCCAGAGCACTCGGTGAAGTAGACGTTCTTGTTCGAGTACGCATTATGGAAGGTCGTCTGCGCGGTCGCCGATACGCCATCCGTAGCGTAGCAGTGGAAAGCGGCTCCGTCGAACGAGGACTCGGCGTTCTGCATAACGTCGATAGGGTAGTCGGGATCATCCCAATTATGGTCGCTGCGAACGAAGGGTCTAGTCAGTACACTATTGAAACACGCTTGAGTAGAGGCACGCACTAGCCGATGATGATGACGCTCGACAAGCTGTTATTATCGAGCAAAGTACGAAGCGCGCTGCCAATCTGTGCCATCTGAGTAGGTGTCATCTTATCCGTAGGATAGGCGCCGTTGTCGTTGTTGGGCTCGTTCTGTATGGAGATGGCCCAGGGCTTGAAGCCCTTGCTACTGAACCCCTGGACGGCCTTCAACAGGTAGTTGGCGTAGTATGTAACATCTGCGTCGAGCAGCGAACCGCCATTCATGGAGGTGCTGTCCTTCATCCAACCTGGTGGAGACCATGGAGTGACAAGAACCTTCATGTACTGGTTGATGGCTGCGATGTCTGACAAGATCGTCCAGACATCCGCGGGCACAGCGCCGATGCTGAAGTCGGAGAGCGATGTATCACCGCTCGTGTCGTCAAGACTGTAGTCTGCAAAAGCCTCGTTGAGCGCACGACGGACGGTTCAGCACAAGGGTATGACGAACCCATAGTCGAGTAGTCCGATGCTCCGATGGGAACACGAATGACATTGAGCCCCGCAGCCTGAGCTCCATCCGTTGGATCGAACAGAGTCTTCATGAGTGTGTTGTAGTTGCCGCTGTTCGTCCCCTGAACATGCACCATCACTCTCGTGGGCTAGTTATCACTGGTTAAGGGTACCCTTACCTTTAATCCAGCCAGGATACTCGCGGAAGAGTCGGTAAGCGACCCGCCGAAGCCGACCATCTGTTGATAGACTGTACTGTCCGTGATGACGATGTCCGCGTTCCCTATGGCACCCGGCGTGACGAAGTTGATAGCTGTCGAGGGCGAGATATTGGAGAAGAGATTCGTGCGATCCCATGTTGTTTGCCAGACATCGTAGATTTGTTGGCCAAGCGCGGGTCGCAATGCTGCGGCAAGCGCTGATGCGCCGAGGAGATAGCGTGTCATCGCGTGGAGTGCGAGAGTGATGAATAAGGGAAGGATCGATGAGCTGAAGGAACGTAGGGTGACGCGTATGCACGCAGTCACAGAGAAGAAGGGAGAGATGAGACCCTAAAGAACGTGTTGAGCAGCGAGCCCCTTATGTATCATCGAGCCATCCACTGGACATTGCGCAGGGCATCAAGTCGCCAGGCAACGTCGTTTGGCGCCGGAGAAGTGCCCCAGGTATGAGGAGTGTTGTGTCCCTGCATGGCCACTATGA